GAGGTGGCCGAATTTCATGTACCATTATTGATGTAGGTTTTAGTCAAGTTAAAATTAAGAGCCGTACGAATCTGCTGTATGAACTCTCTCTTTTCAATTTTTTTTTTTTTTGTCTCTTTTGGATGTGGTCTATTCGCTTTTTATTTTTATTAGACAGATTTTTCAACTGAAGCAAGAAAGTGGAAAGACCATGGGCAAGAGAAGATAAATTCATGAGCTGTATGAACTCTCCTTATTTGTTTTTGATGATGTGGTTTTCTTGCATTTTATTGTTATAGATTTCTTTCTCTAATTTGACACAAGAAAGTGGGCCTTACCGTGCGAGGATAAAGACGTTCTCTCCTCTCGCTACTCGCTTCCCTCCCAACTTGACTGATTTTTCTGCTTGATTAAATGGAATTCCGAACCATATCACCATTTACTATGCATCTTTTTGCTTTTTGCTGGATATAAATTTTACAGAGGTGGTGTGTGCTTGTAGAATTTGATTCAGACCTCAAACGATAGTTGTGTTCACATTTGCATGATAACCCCCTTCAGCAACTGGGCCACAGGGATTTGAAACCACCCTTCCTTCAGCGGTGTTTGGTTTGTGGATATAAAACAAATAAAATTGACATTTTAAGGTTGGATTTTGTTAAAAAAAAAAAAAAAAAAAAAAAGAGCAAAATTTTGGTTTTTCGTTGGTTTTCGTCTTAAATGAATCTTCTTTTTTTAATTTCAAATAACTTTTTCACATGTAGGTTTTATTAGACTTAAAAAAAAAATTAAAAAAAATAACTAGATATTTTTTTACTAATTTCAAAATACTTTTATTGAATTAAAAATTTATTTTAACTTTTTCACTATTTTTTGAATCGTTTTTTTACACAAATTTAATATTAAACAATGCTTTTGTTAGCATTTGTCATTAAAATGATGTGAGTATATATATAAATACATAAAAATGTATGGAATTATGTAAAATATATATTAAAATTTTAATTTAAATTTTTTTGATATTGTTTGAACCTTAACCAATGCTCATTGAGGGGTAGTTAGTAGGATCTATTTTTAAAATTAAAAAATTCATTAAATTAATTTAAGATTTCAAAAATTCTAAAATTCTAAAATTTAAGTTTGCAAGATTCTAAAACGTATGAGGAAATATAGAATATATATGAATAGCCAATAATTTACAAAGTTTATTAATGGGACTAATTTTTATTCATATTTGAAAGTTTACCTCAATTTCTTGTGTTTCATTTGTTGCTTTTCTTTTTTTTCTTCCAAACACAATATAAACCAAGTCAATTACTGGTTTTCCAGGCACTTCATATACTCTACATTTATAATGTTTAAAAAATTTTAGGAAGTTATTTTAATTTGATCACAATAATATAATATGATGTGTCAAATTTTAGATTATCATACACCACATAATTATGAGTAAATTTATAAATTTAAAGTTACAAATCTATAACATTTCTCAAGAACTGGCAAACTTGAAAGCTCAACCGCATTTATAGAATTGAATAATATTAAGGATCATGGAAAAAATATCATAAAATGCTTCATGAAAATTTTTCATCATTTGATTAGTGTGTGGTATTTTATTATATATGTAATCTAATGATGAAGAAACTTTCATGCTCATCTTCATAATATTACTCCACAGAATTATTACGGGGCCTAGGTCTCAATAGATAGGCTGGTACATCCTGAAACAAATTAATATGAATTTGGAACATTGACCCTTTCTTTCACCCAATTTTGCCTCATTTTTTATGCTAATTTTGTCACATTGTAATAAGAGTGAGGTAAAATAAGTAATTGAAAATTTCATAAAATAATTGGATCAATATAAATTAAAGAAGAGATCAAATTAGGACCTTTTCTTTGAAAAGTCGTTATTTCTTGTGAATTTAAAGTTTTCTCTTTATATATTCAAAATTCTTCATGTACTAGAATGCCATCTTATTTCGTGTAATATTTTTACTGCATCAAAGAAAGTATCGAACAAAGAATAAGATAAAAATTGAAAATAGAGACTAAGACCAAGTATAAGGATTAGAGGTGGGTTTGAGCTTGGTTATAAGCATTTTTCTATAAGCATATATCTTTAAAAAACCAGTATATCTAATTTATTGGTGGGGTATGAGAATGATAAATTAGGTACAAATTTAACATTTGGCATTATTTACACAATGTAATTGTTTTCAAATTCCAATCCACAATCTCAAATTTAAGGAAGCATTTCTCTCAAGTGTTCAGTCTGGCTTACTACAAGTCTATTGAAAGTCCGCATCAATGATTTTTTTTTTTTTTTTTGAACAGCACTTCAATGATTCAAATTTTTCATTTTGTTAAATATATTATTCATATAAAAAATCAAATTAATCAAATATAAGTAATTGTTTGATGTGATTTGATCAAATAATTATATCAATCAACTCAAATTTTTATATGAATAATATGTTCAATAAATCTCACAAAATAAATATTTTAAATCATTAAAATAGACATGAAATAAACCCATAATGAGCCGGAATGAAGAGGAGCAACTTCTAAAATTTGAGAGACTGACGTTTAATTTCAAAATTTCATTAAGACATGAAACACCGAATCATAACTTCATTAATATCTGGGTCACATGGCCAGAACCCTTTTTTTTTTTTCCTTTTTTTTTTTCGGTAGAACATAGGAAATATTATATTAACAAAACAACAACATTACATAATGACAAATCATATTTTATATAATATCTGTGTTTTTATATAATAATGGCAATTTATATTTTTGAAGGAAAGTTAATTACATTTATAACAAAGATAAAAATGGTAACAATGACCTTTAGCAATAAATGAGAAATACATAATGTCACAACCGTAAGAATAATGCTATATATGTATCAATTAATTTACAAACTAATATATTTTTATAATATGTATAATAGGTAAAATCAATAATAATGACATAATACTGATTGATATACTAATATATACATTAATTAATGTATGAAGCACCACCACAACCATAATCTTGGCACAATACCACCACCACCTATCAAGCAGGAACACAACCATTAATTTTTGGATAAAAGCTAGTACTATTTTTCAATACACATTTAATATATTTTAACACTAACAACAATTCTAAAGACTAATTTGGGATTATCAATAGGAAGTATAGAAAATATTTATAATTTTAATACACATTTCATATATTTTTACATATTTTTATACTTTTTAATACATTGTTTACATATATTTTAACACTAATAACAACTATAAAGACTAATTTAAACATTTTCCTTATTATTATTATGTAACCATAATTGCCTGGTATCATAGTCGTTGGGTCTCGCTTCATTCAAGTTGGGGTGAAGACTGACCCATCTAGTACTCGTTCAATTTGCTATAATTCTATTTTAATAATTTAAACTGTTCATTTTTAGGCAACTATACATAGATTATTCATGAAGAAAAAAAATATATAAATTCATCAATAATTGTAACCATATGATTTCATATATTTGTTCTAAATAATGGACAAGTATGATTTCAAAAATTAACCTTTCAATTTTTTCAAAATAAATATGATAAAATCATGTAATTACTATAACGAATTGATTTAATTTTTTTCATACATAATTTACACACAAAAATTTCAATAAAGAACGAAATTAAATTTCAAAATAAAAACATGTATAAGATCTACAAGAGCATAGCTCCTCCTAGAGATAAGCCTTTCACATATTTCATCACTTGCTTGGTGTTATTTCCCTTTATTTCACCTTATCATTCCATTGCTGATAATAAAGAGACTGATTATAACAAATCTAAAGAAGGATCACTCTACTATCCACTCTCCCAATCATAACCAAACACTACTTTATACATAACCAAAGAGTTTTACGGTCGTGACCAAAATAACAATCATAATAGGTCATAACTACTATCATAATAAGTCATAACCAAAAATCATAACCACACACCATTTAAAGCATACCAAAGACCTCTTCATAATCAAAATAACCACCACAAAGATCATAACTAACACGTCAAGCATGTAGAATTTCCCCATCTTTCAAATATTTCACTCCAACAGCTTGTCATAGTTCATCTTTGAAAAGTCATTATTTCTTGTGAATCACTCTTTCTTCTTCTACCTTTCTTTCATAATCAAGTCCACAAATAGCATCTCTATTTAGCATTGTATGAGAAAAATAAAAGAAATGCATCGACATCATTGGAACAAAATGGCCCATTTATAAAATTCCAAATACTATAACTAGTCAAAGTATAAGTTTAACATCATCAAAAAGATAAATTACACCCAACACCTCCTGAGATTTGCTTTTAATACTTGGGGGTTTTACATTGGGTGATGGCTATGGAGTTTTAGGGAGGTTTGCAGTAGGAGATTTACATTGGGTGACTAGGGGGTGGTTTTGCACTAGGTGACCTGGGTTGTTTTACACTGGGTGTTTGATTAATTACTTCAAAGAAATAATTTTTCATGAATAGAGTCTTATGCAAATTACATGCTTGGCTAATTGTTCAAAAAACTACTTTTTGCTAAACAAAAAAGTTTTCTTTGATTTGTGGCATGGTTGAGTTGTGGCAGTGATGGGTTGGTAGGTGGTAAAAAGGAGAAGGTGCATTGATGTGTAATGGGGGGAGGTGGAGGGACCAACGAGTGATGGTTGTTTGTATGAAGTGAGAAAGGAAATACAGTAAAGGAGGGAGGGAATGTGAGGATAAATTTGGTATTTAAAAAAAGTAATCCACTTACATTAGCGAAAATTGGTAGTTGACTGTTAAGTTAACTAATGGCAGGGACAATTGATAATGCAACTTTAAACCTCAGGATGGGGGCTTTTGGCTGGGCTTGACCTCAGCACCATTGAATCATAAGAAGGAAACTAAAAACAGTACAATGAAGAAAGCTAGTGATATTCAACAAACAGAGACAAATGTGAAGATCAAATGAAAGATGCAAAAACAAACATTTAAACATAATATTGAATTTGCAAACCAAAGCAGCTTTAATCACATTAGTAATAAGCCCATAAGTCGTGTACTAGAGTGCAATATTAAACTTTTTCACATCTTTTCTACATGAACTTGTAAACCAACAAAAGAAAACCTCACCACAATGTGTCTTTGTGAAGATCTAGATAAACCACACAGCAATGGAAGATGCGATGACAAGGATCATCAGAAATGGTTCTCCATGAAAATCCAATAAAAATGCCCCGAAATTCCATAGGCAGCCATGATTTTCGGTCCACAACAACCTGAGTAAAAAGCTTTATCAATCGAATGAATGCAAATAAGCAATAATACAACCTGACAAACTTGTGAACAGTGTAGCCAGTTTAAAGAAACTTCCTTATAAAACTAGTAAAACAATGCTTTCAGTCTAAAAACACTTCTATTACCTAACAAGGCCCTCTTTTATTTCCTAGAGTAGTTACATATCCATCATGCTTCCATCTATTTATATTAGTTTTCTCATAACACCATATATTTCTTCTAAATATAATGATAGAATACAAGCAAATCACCCACTTATAATTTAGAACCTTCAACCCACCAAAAATATAATTTAGAATCTTCCCCATCTATATAGGTGCCAGAGTCACGAAAAGGGAATTCACACACAAGACTGCAACGACAAATTGCTAACTACATATAAACATACAAGTAAATTAACTGAATTCACAACTTGTTTATCCAATGCAGCCGCTTGTTTTGTTTCATTTAATGTCTAACTTTCCATTTTTGGAAGTCTCATTTTTATGCGTCTTAGTTTGAAAAGTGGAACATTTAGTATCATTTTATTTATTTATTTATTTTTTTTTTGGAGGGGGGGAGGGAAACTCAAATGAAGAACTTATTTAGAAAACTGTTTCCGAAAACTAATTTTAGGAAATTTTTCTAAAATTAACTAATTTTTGTGAAAGCACTTAAGATTTTTATGGGAAGCACTTAGCCAAAACCAACGCACAAAAATGAAAGCGATGGATTTTTTTTAAAGTTTTTATTACCTGTCTTTACATTTATGTTTCAAATACAATCACAATCCCTAATAACACTACTTTTGTAAATTTATCATTCAAAGATGTTTCAACTAAACCTTGTGCATGGTCAATGGAACCAATAAAATGTGATGGGGGGATCATGTCATACTTCTTTACATTTATATGCAAATTCAATCACAATTCCCAATAAAACACATAAAATGGATGGAGGGACTATAAGAGTAGCAGATAAAAATAACATGGACAGTCAAACAAAAAATCAAAATAACCAGATTTACTCATTTGATGAACCCCACACTCCAGTTAAATACTATAACCACACCATTTCTATATTAGATAAGCACTTAGAAGTTCTTATTCCTTCTTTTTTGTTACATGTCATGTATTAAATTGAATTCATTTCCTAGTTAAATTAATAAGGCTGGCCTAGCATCTCAGTTTCAACCCTCAAACTTGGGTTCTTGAGCACCATATTCAATTTATCACGTAAACATGTCCATGTTGTGACATGTGTCTGTGCTTCTTAGAGGCAATCATTAAGATAAATCAATGAAGTAGCATCAAGAGGAACAATTCAAGCTCAACACCACGTGAGCTATAAATTGCATTCAATTTCAAGAAGAAATTCCTGATTAATTTTTCCTTTTTTTTTAAGACCCACAAATCCACCCACAATGGTGTGGCAAGTGAGTTGAACCCTATATCATTGTGTAACAAATCAGAACTTAACACATGATACCACATCATTGAGGGTGTAATTGTGAGAGTTTTTGTGGGTCTTAAACATTTTTCATTTTTCTTTTTTGGTTCAATGGCAATGGGTCACAAAACTAGGTATAGCTCTTCCCCTCCCCCATAACCCCCCAGCGCGGATGAAGGCAAGTTTTGACACCTGCCCTTTGTTGCATTAATCAAGAAACTTTACCAGCTACTAAGCTATTGGCACTTTTGACATTGTCTTTCCTTTATTAATAGCAGGCCTTGAATTGGTCTACAGACAAGCAGCAGCTGATGAATGCAAGCCCAAGTCCAATAAGTTGGTCACCTAGATTGTTTGTTTTGCTTTAGGCTGTGTTTGGTTTATGAATGTGGGTAGGGATTTGGAAAGGAAAAGGAAAAAAAATGTAACTATATTTTATTTATATTTCATCCACATATTCCCTTTTCCTTTCCAAATCCTCACCAAATGGCTGAATGATCAGGGGGGGAAAAAGTTGAGAGTTCAAATATTCTGAAATTGGGTTCGAAGAAAACACAGAACCAAAATTTCAAAAAATAAAGAAGATTGTTTAGGAAACTAAAACAATAGCAAAAAGCATAAACCATGAATTAACCCCTTTCTTGGTGCTGTTTGACAGCAATAAGATGGTTCCTAAAGTGGTTTGGGCCTCTTTCTTTACCTGAAATGAAACTAAGAAGACGGGGCTTATTCTTGTTCTTGAGGAGGAGGAGGTTGTTGTTCCAATGGGGGAACCCAAATCCCATGGACCCACTCACGGTGCAAGCGCAGATCGGAATCAGGAAAATCAATCTGCTCCCTGGAACTTCTGAAGAAAACAGAGTATCTAGAATCTTGGAGAATGGCAGTGACAATACCCTCCCACCAACCGTCGTTGTGGAAAGCATCGACCTCTTCGCTGAGCTTGAAGGTCCGACTGAGCTCTCGAGGAGGGACTGGACGAACCAAGATCACATTCACGAACTCTCGGAGAGGTTTGGAACCACGATCGTCGGCCATGAGGCTGTGGAACTCCACGAAGATCTTGTTGTTCTTCTTGGAGACGGTTCGGAGGACAGTGGCTGTGTACCAGGACCCTCTGAAACCCTCGTCTTCGAAGCTCACTTCCACCTCCGCTCCTTTCTTCAACCACTCCTCCTCTGAATCTCCCATGGTGATGCTCGTGCTTTTGCTTTTCGTTTTACCTTTACAGTAGATGATTTTACAGAGTAAAGTACCTAGTTGTATTTGGAGAGAGAGAGAGAGAGAGAGAGAGAGATAGAGTAATGGTAAGAAGAAGGAAGGACACGTTTGCTCTTTTGTCTCTTCGTGGGATTTTTGAGTCATTTTATATGCACATAGATATCGTGATTGGAATCCGGATCGTCGGTCGCATTTTTCTGTCACTTCCAAAACGACGTTGTTTTAGGGGTAAATTTTTTTTTAAAAAAACGCAGAGAAGAGAATCTAAAAAATTTATCTAGAATATTTAGTAAAAATGATTTAGAATTAATTAAATTTTATTTATTTTTATCATAATTACATATAAAATAATTTTTTTATTCTTATATCATTAATTGTATGTTTTAAGTTCTTAATAACAAATATATGACATAATTTAAGTCATAAAAATTAAAAAGTAAATCACATAAATTATATTTATGATAAAACATAAATACAATTCGTCTTTTGAGTTTCGTAAATTTAATTTATTATATGATAGTGGTAAATTACATTTGTCAACATAGTCATTTTTTCATGTTTTGTGAAAACAAAGAATTATAACTTGTCTTATGTTATAAGATTTACGTAAAAATGAATTAGGATTCACTTGTGATATTAAATTTGAGCTTAACATTAGATTTACGTCAACTTGTCATTCACCTAATCGTTAAAAATTATCTTGTTCCGTTCTTAACTTATATGAATCGTTTGACATATCTATTTATTAAACTAGTAAATAAATATTTGTAAATATTTTTTTATAATAAAAATAAGAAATATAGAATTATTTTATGCATGCTTATTAAAAAGTTTGAACTATAGTTTAAAAAAAAAAAAAAAACTATATATTTATGTTTAAAACAATTAAATCAATAGTTATATGTATTTATGTATAAAAAAACTATTTAAGATAAAGTCACTCTAAATTGTAGGTCATATTCTAGTCCTAATAAATTTAAATTTTATATTTAAATTATATCATAATTTATTAGTTCGTGACTCATATCAGCTAATTTGGGGTTTTAATATTGGATTAAATACTAAAAAGTAACTAAGAAAATTTAGTTTAAATCAATTTTTTTGGCCAATAATTCTTGATTTAAGTCTAGTCCTTAAAGAATCATCTAGTTCATGTCCAATTCAAGAGTTAGTAGACCTACCTATTTATTTAACTTTTAATTAGTAAATATATATATTTTCTAAATGTACAACAAAAATAGGAAATATATACATATTTGCTTGGTATATTTATTAACAATTTCAAAATTAATTAAGCAATTATGTACTTATTCTTAAAAGGATAAATTACATTAGTAATCCCTATATTTTAAGTCTTGTGTTATTTTTATTCTTACAATTTTAATTTGCTCAATTTTAATCCTAAATTTATAATTTTGTCTCAATTTGATCCAATTGTTATGATCGCTATTTTTTTTTGAAAAAAAATACACCCATAAGTAGCATCTGTTATACTTTTCAACTCAACAAGTTATAAACAAAATTATAAACTTGTTCAACTCGATAAGTTAATCTCAATTAACTCAATAACTATTTTCTTTCAAAAATCTTAACCAGCATTATCAATTAGATCAAATTAATACAAAATCTAAAATTATGAGTAAAAATCAAACTAATTGAAATTACAGAGACCAAATTGACACAAAGTGACAAAATACGGGGACTATCGATATAATTTATCCTTCTTAAAATATGTCTGATATTGATTGTATCAATATTAATATATATTTATAGTTGAAAAATTATTTAAGTCCAAATCAAGCTAAACCTGAATAAAAAATTAATGGCTTAGTAAAAATATTTAATAATTATAAATTCAAATTTGATGAATTTTTCATTTAATTTTTTTTCATAGAATTAGGTTGTTTGATAATTTTAATTTATAGTTCCAATTTTTCCTTGTATTTTTTTAAAAATATTTTAAAATTATATATAATTATAATTTCTTTTGAAATTTCATTTTCAATCTCAAATTAGTTATAACTTGAATTTGGTTAAAATTTATTTTTGATTTCTCATCTACAAAAATTAACAATAAACATAAATTAATTTTTTGAACATTGTAAAAAGATAAATAAAGAAATATATTATCAATAATAATAATAACAAAACATATTTTTATTTATCATGTGACGTCTCATCACTGCATTGATAATAGACATTAATAATAAAATTTATTACGATAATACAACAATAATATATCAAATGATAAGTAACATGTGATCACAATAATTTTTGATAGTTACATAAAAATACCCAAAATTATATATATAAAAATAATATATGATCCATATTCAATTTTTATATGGTAAAATTCACACTTAATCTCAACCACACATTAGTTTTTTAAATCAATTCATTACCCAATCTATCTACTATTCTTTTAATATTCACCTTTTCAAAATCTACCCAAACAATGCTCTGACCAAGCTCATCATCACCCTTGTTGCCATGTTGACCACCTCCATTAACCATTATGCAACTCCGATCTAATTTTTTTATCTTTGTAAATATAAAAAGACAATATTGTGGAAATAAATGGGTACTGGTAGAGTTTTAAAGAGTTAAAAATATAAAATAAAAAAATGCATGATTTTATGTTTTTTTATTCTATATATAGGTGTTAATTTTTATTTTTATTTTAATCCATAAATTATGGAATAGTGTTCATTATTTAAAATTTTATTTATTGATGGGCAAGCTAATTAAATGTTTTTAATTTTTTACAAATAAAAAATTTGAAAATTTTGTTTAAGAAATTTTAAAAATGATCAAATCATAAAGAATAATATAAAACGCCTTATTCTATAAAAATAAAAAATAAAAACTCATAGCTATATTATCAATTCACATATATAAAAAAGAAATAATAACAATAATAAAAAATACATAAACATCCACAAAAAAAAAATTCAAATCAACTCCCAAAACAAAGATAATTAGCATATATATATTTATTATCAATTTAGTTGGAAAAAAATACATTGGAAAAAAAAAGTCATATAGAGAAGAAAAAAAAATACTCACACGAAAATATAAATTTACAACAAAAAAAATTACAAACAAACAAACTTGAAATAAGTTTGGACTATTGGCAAAGAGAGAGAATAACCATTGCATCATTACATTTGGGGAGGAGTTAGCCGGGCTGAAAAAAAGATCAAATATTAAATATTTTAAACAGAGAATTGTATTAAATTTTTAACTTGATTGGGTTTTTAAAATTTTAGATTTATATTATTTTTCAGAAAAGGTGAGAGTGGGATAAAGGTGACTTATCATATTATTTTGAATTTTGAAATTCAAAATCATAGATAATTAGTGTCTTTATTTATTTTTTATTTGAATTGTTTTGATCAACATTATTTTTTGGAAGAGTGAGAGGGATTTATCATATTGTTTTGAATTTTAAAATTCAAAATTGTAGATAATTATAAGTTTTTTATTTTTGAATTTTTGACCTATGGAACTAACTAACAGATTTTTTTTTTTATTTCTTTCAAAATTAACAAAATTAATTTGGGAGTTTAGAACTTCCCACAATCATTATTCTTTAAAAGGCCATTTTCCTTATACATATAGGTAATAGACGACTTATATATTTACGATTGATTGATGAAAAGTAATACTAGGTGATATCCTATTGAATAATGCTACATGGAGTAATTAGTGTGCTACTTGATGATGTGTCATAATTTAAAAGATTTTTGATATTTGTAATGTGATTAATGAGTAGGGTCAATAATAATGTCATAACTAGTGTTGGTACACTATCAACACTAGTTAGTACACTAATTGGTGCATATAACACTACATTATCCTATTGAATAATGTTATATGCACCAATTAGTGTACCAATTGATGATATGGTATAATTTAAGAGGTTTTTAATATTTGTAATGTGATTAATGAGTGAGGTCAATAATAATGTCATAACTAGTATTGATACACTAGTTAGTACATTAATTGGTATGTAACACCACCGTATCCTATTGAATAATGTTATATGCACCAATTAATGTACTAATTAGTATATCAATTGATGATGTAACATAATTTAAGGGGTTTTAAGTATTTGTAATGCGATTTCTGAGTGGGGTTAATAATAATATCATAACTAGTGTTGATACAATAGTTAGTACACTAGTTGGTACATGTAGCACTACTGTATCCTATTGGCATACAAAGTTTTTTGGAATTCACAAAATTGTATTTTATTTTATTTTATTTTTTATTTTTTAGGTGTTAAAGAATTTTTTTGAAACAAAATTAAGATTTCAGTTTTTTAATAAAATAAAATATGGATAAAATATCTTTTTTTATTAAATTTAATGATTAAATTACTTATTTTTTTATTCATTTTATTTAATAAAAATAGACAAATAATTTATTTTATGTAGGAGAATATATTATTTTTTTGTTTTACTCAATGAAAATAAGTGAATTATTTAAATTAAAAAAATAAAAATATTAGAGTTTAAATTAATAAAATTAAAATTTTATTTTGATATAAGACTAAAATCTTGAAAAAAAAATTTATAATCGTTTCAAAATTTATTTGTGTCTAAAAAGTTGCTGTTTTAAAAATAAATTTGTAACGCCCCGACCCTTTACACGTTATCGATATTGTCCGCTTTGGGTCATGCCCGCACGGATTTGTTCTTCCCAATGGGTCACCCATCCTAGAACTACTCCAGCCTAAGCACGCTTAACTGGGGAGTTCTAATAGGGATTTCACCACTTGGGAAAAGGCCTCGATGCTATATAAGGGTCCAGGTTTTTACTTTTATAACCCAGGAACTCCCCCTCCATTCCCGATGTGGGACATCGGGGCGTTACAATCCACTCCCCATAAGGCTGCACGTTCCTGTGCAGTAGCCTGCCAGCTCGCTCCCGATGTGGGACATCGGGGCGTTACAATCCACTCCCCATAAGGCTGCACGTTCCTGTGCAGTAGCCTGCCAGCTCGCAAGCCCGCCCACATGCACCGAGAGACGCCAGGGGCCCACACTCGGTACTCCGGAGAGTCGGCTCTGATACCATTTGTAACGCCCCGACCCTTTACACGTTATCGA